ACTCTCACAATTTAGAAATTACCGATGTTAAATATTTGATAAGCAGAATTAGGATAGTTTCTTTTTGTTCAAGTTCTCTTTTATTTCCCTTAATCAACTTGAGTAGTTTTGTTTTTTGTTTTTAGTATATGTTCTACAAACTTCTTGTACAATTTATTCCTAAGTATTTTATTTTTGTTTGTTTTGTTTTTATTTTGAGTGAAATCTTTTCCCATTATGTTTGAATTGGTTATAAGATATTTATTATGTAACCTAGCACTTTAACCATTTTTAATAGTGTGTATTTTGGTTCCATTAGTTATTACAGGACAATAATTTTATCATGTAAGCCACAATGCATAATGTTTCATAATGAATGTAGTGTGCATCATTCAGCTTAGAATTTTAAAATGAATTCTGGATATTTAGAAAAATACTGTTCAAGATAGACTTCGGCTGTAATATTTGAACTGACATTTAAAATGTCACAGGATCTTTCATATGAGAAAGGTTAAAAACATCCAAGATATTTCTACCTGTTGGTATTGTTCTTAACACTGTTTTGCCTGGCATAATTTCCATGATAGAAAACTCACTTTTCATGGGGTGATTGACTAATCCACGTATCTATAGGTCATCAGTTTATAGTTAATAGCTATTCATATGTTGTACAATTTTAAGCCCAAGTATAACTGACTTTTTCTTCTTCAGTGTATTAAAAGAGATTTTCTTGGAAAATAGAATACAAATATTAAGTGTAAAAAGACTGTCTCATTATATAAATGATCTCTCTGCTATTTTTTCTCATATCTAGAGAAGTCCTGATTTTTCATCTGCCCTGTAGAGACAGTTAAAGCCCTTATTTATTTTACAAGCGTTTAGATTCTCTATCAAATCTGTACAAATTAACTTTATATTAAACTGTTTTTTTCAACCCTCAATCTACTACAACACTATCATTATATTATTTTCCAAAGTACTTTTCCTATACTATAAGATATTTCTTATAAAATATATTATTTTAAAATATTTTAAATAATTGAGTAGATCTAAAAGGCTTAACATTTTATAACATTCATGAGCAATTTCTAAAATTTCACATAACATGAATATGGAATAATTTCAAAAACTAAGTGCTCTTAAGTTATTTAACATAAAAAATTCTGTTCAAGTAACAGTTATTCAGCCAAAAGCATTTTAACTACAGGCTGAAGTAGCCACTTTGAATTTCTCACTAGTAAGCATAAAATTGAAATAGCCTAGATGATGTATAGTTGTTTGGGAATCAGGAAATATTTGTTTTGATACAGTTTCATAATCCCTTTACTAAAATCTATAGAGTCAGATGTATTTTAGGTTTTTCTGATTTTTAGAAATGGATTAGAGAGCATATGCCCTATATTATTTAAAACCCTGGTGGGGCCTGGGGCAGCATACCATAATTAAATAGATTAACATTCCTACACAAATGTATGATTGTTCATTTTAATAGTATAAACTTCAATTTAGGTCAGATTTGCCATCAAGTGATTTCTGCTCAGATTGAGTTTGGCTTCCATATTGATTATGAAATAAACCTTTATTTTCAGAGATTTTTGTATTATATAATTTGAAACTAAAGTTTTTTTTCTACTGATTTGATATATGATTTATGTAATTTTTCTAAGTCTTCATAATCTCAAATGCTAAAATGGGAAGCTGAACTAAGTAAGTTATTTGTGAACTTTTCAGATTCTAAATCTGAACGTCTATTTATTTATTTATTTATTTTTGAGCTGGAGTCTCACTCTCTCGCCCAGACTGGAGTGCAGTGGCCACTCCCGGCCACCGCAGCCTCGACCTGCTAGGTCCCGGCGATCCTTCCGCCTCAGCCTTCCAAGTAGCTGGAACTGCAGGTGTGCGCTACCATGCCTGGCTAATTTTTTATTTATTTATTGTAGAGATGAGGTCTCGCCAAGTTGCCCAGGCGGGTCTCGAACCCATGGGCTCAGGCAATCCCCTCACCTCAGCCTCCCAAGGCGCAGGATTACAGGCTGAGCCACCGAGCCTGGCTGAACGTCTATTTATTAATAATTCTCTGACGTAAGAAACATTATAATGAAATCAGTTCTATAATACCTCAGCTTAATAACTCCTTATTTCAACATTCTTGAAAGATAGATAGTAATTATTTATGATTTATATATAAATATTAAAGTATATAGTTCAAGAAGTATTTCTACTTGGTCTTCTGTATAGTAGAAACTAAACTGGGTGTTAAGTTCAGGAAGACTGATTAATTTTTGGTTGCAACTTTGATTTCTGGTGTAAATTTATTAGTTTTAATTAAAATTTGAATCATATAGAGATAGAGAGAAACAGTATAGGTTGCATGCTTTTCTTCTGAAAATCAGGAGGCACAAATTAGACAGGATTAGGTCAAGGTAGTCAAAAGGGAATCTACAAAACCCCATTTTGTTTCAGAGCCTCAAGCTTTGAATCTCAATGTCAAGAAAGATAAGCCCTAAATTTAAAGGAGCTGGGATCTCCAGTGAGAGAAGAGTAAAGTGGATCAATAAGAAGATAGGTGAGGTTCCTACTAGATAAAGATGGCAAACTTTAAGCTATGGGTGGGAGAATTAAATGGAAACTAAGGGCAAAGTACAGTAGGCCAGAGCTAACAAACCAGCATGGGCTTGTTTAGAGACTTGCCTTATTTGTCTGGTAATTGTTATAAAATTTTTTTAAAGTGCATTTGATTATCTTTGGGTATGGAATGCTCTTCAGTTTTCCATATTTTCTGCCATTCCCTGTGGTCTTGCTCTTCATCACTTCTCATTTACCGACGGCCCCCGAGTGTATTTACATTTGCCATTCCTGTCTATAGGTTATACTATTAAAGCAGACTAAAAGAAAGGGCAATTCCTTCAGGTCCCCTCCCACTGTGGGAGCTTCTCTGTCCTCTCAATAAATCCTGCTTTAAAAAAGAAAGAAAGAAATGGAAAGGTTATGGTCGGGAGAGGGAAACTATAGTAAGTAATAGGAATTGTTATTGCAGTCTTCTGAGTGGCTAGAAGACATCCAGCTACCACTAGTCAACTTTTATTCATTTCTTCAAATAATATTTATCTATGTATTTTAGGCACTGGGTATACAATCAGAAATACACACGGTCCATGTATCTATTGAAGAACTAAACAGCAGATAAGTAAACATGCAAATGTGAAGACTGACACAAGTTATCATGGAAGATAAAACAAATAGGATGAGAGAGAAACAAAGAGTACTCCATTATTTAGATGGAAAGGTCCGGCTAGGTCTCTCTGAGGAGATGATATGTTGGTGGAGCTGAAGACTGAGTAGAAACCAGATAAAATGAGAAAGAAAGTGTCTTTAAGGTGGAGGGACTAGCAAGTGGGAAGGCCTTGAGGCAGAATGAGTATGCTGTATTTGAGGAATAGAAAGACCAATGTGATCAGCTTGTGTGAATAGATGAGGGTAGAAAGATGACCAAAGGTAAGGTCATGCTGGGCGTTATTGGCCATTTAAAGGAATTTGAATACTATTTTAAAAGGTAATGAGAAACCATTAAAGAAACTGAAGCATGGCCAGATTAGAGTTTTTAAGATTACTTCTGCTGCTTTCTGGTGAATGGACAGTAAAAGTACAAAGGGAAACTGCTGCTGTCACCCAAGCAGGAGTTGATGGTGGCATGACTCATGTTGAAGCAGTGGAAGTGGACAGATTGAATGTGTATTTTGGGAGAATCTTAAGGAATAGAATGTGGGTACAAGTAGAAACCAGCCTATAGCGAGCATTACCAATGTTATTAAAGGCTTGAAACAAGACTTCCTTGAGATCCTGTAGAAATTACACTCTGAAGTTTATCCCTGTATTGCTAAAGCTGGTGGGCAATTACCATGATTCTTAGAAACTTGGCAGATTTTCAAAAAGTCATGGACCTTAATTATTTTCTTCTCCATTTAAGAAGGTTTAGGTTACTACAAAGCCCACTAGACATGGGTAGTTCAATCTAGTTGATATGGAACAAAATTTTTTGAAAAATGGGTACTCTTACTTAAACAGTCACTTGCCTAGTTTGCCCTGGAAGTGTTGTGTTTCTAAAATGATGTCAGTTCAGCTCAGTGCTATTGCACAGTGGGTTCTCAGGAAGCCGATGCTGAGGAAGGGTTTGGAGTGCAAGATGTTTATCAGGCATCTACACCTGTGAAAGTGAGAAGAAGGAAGCAGGATTGGGCAGATGAAGAAGTCAGTGTCAGTGCAGCCCAGTGAAGTCTGGGCCAGCCCTACTTGAAGCTCTGGGGCAAATATTGCTTATCAGCGTGTCCTACATTGGGCCGAAGTTGCTTTATACTCCTGGCTTGATTAGTCACTGAGTATGGGCTGCCCCAGGAAGGGTATGACCTTAGACAAGGCTTTTCTCTGCAGCTAGAGCCCAACCTTGAAGGTGACAGCTGGAGGCAGTCTCCAGACTGCACTCCCACAGCCAGGCTGCGAATCCTTTGACATCTCTATATCCACCACAAGTGCCGTATTTCTTGTAACAGAAATAGTGAATAATTTATTCTTCAATTTATGTAGTTTTTTCCTCCCAGGAGCTCAAGATAAAACATATATGACTTTCTAATGAAAAAGTATTTATCAGTCACTGGAACAATCTGATAGAAGAGAATTAAAAGGGAAAACATTAGAAGGAGTGGATCAAGAACAAGAAAGGCACAGAAGTAAAACTCTCATGGAGGGAGGCGTTTAGGAGCAAGGAAAGCAGATTTTAATAAATTACTAGAGTTATGGCACCCAGTCCTGGGCCTTACTTTTTTTTAACTTTTATTTTAAGTTCACAGAGTACACATACAGGTTTGTTTGCATGATGATGTTTGGGTTTTTATTGAGCCCATCATCTGAGTGGTGAGCATGGTACTAGGTTTTACTTTGAAAAGTTATTCAATTAACACATCTTTATATAAACAATGAAAAAAATAACATCGTGACATTTTAGCTTTCTCTTGTTTCCTTGACAGATATGGAAAACATGAATAAAAGAGAGCAACCATTCATGACAATTCAGAAAAATCATAGCTCAGGTATTTTTCTACTTCCAATTTTGTTTTATTATTTATAATTGATTATGTACTTTTGAAATAATATAAAATTTGGATATTGATTTTCAAAATGTTAATAATGGAAAGCTCATTTTCTGGTTACGTGGAATAGTTGTCCAGTTCTCTTATAATGTCTTAATCTTAATGGCCAGGATGCCCTTACTTTCTTGCATTGTGATTGGCCTGAAATCATTTAGGAGCTTCTTACAGTCATGTGATCCATGGTTTACTTAATGAATCCTAATTGCAGCACAGATTAATTATTCATGTTATTGAGGTGAAATTTTTTTTTTCTCATTACTCAGGTTATTATGCTTTATACTACTTTGTCTTAGAGTACCTTCTACTTATGTTTTACTTTAGTATGATAAAATGATTAATATCACTCTAAATTAGGACATTGTATATATTTGGAGGCTACACAAACATTTTACGTTATTTTAATTTTATTCAACCTGTTAATTTTTTAGCTTTTTGTTTCAACTTTTTTCAATTTAATTGAAATTATTTAGATTTTTCTAAGATAGAAATGCACCTATGACCTAAAATATATTTCTTTTTTTCTTTTTCTTTTTCTTTTTTTCTTTTTTATTTTTTTGAGTTGGAGTCTCACTCTGTCGCCCAGACTGAAGTGCAGTGGCCGCTCCTGGCCACCGCAGCCTCGACCTGCTGGGCTCCGGTGAGCCTTCTGCCTCAGCCTTCCGAGTAGCCGAAATTACAGGTGCGCACTACCACGCCCGGCTAATTTTTTGATTTATTGTAGAGATGAGGTCTCGCCTGCCCAGGCGGGTCTCGAACCCGCGGGCTCAGGCAATCCACTCAGCTCAGCCTCCCAAAGGCGCAGGATTACAGGCTGAGCCACCAAGCCTGGCTTAAAATCTATTTATAAAATTGATTTATAATGATGTGATACTTGAACATTCATTACTGATGCCTAATACATTTTAAATAAAAATAATGCTTTAACAATGGCTGTATTTTGTATCTTAGCATTATAATTTTCTAAAATCCTCAATATATAGTACTAACTAATCTGAAAACATTCTCTCTGTGCCCTGTTAGAAGTAATGTTATGCAAGGAAAATAGTGACCATACAGAAATAGAGATTCAAATATATCGTGAATATCATAACAGATTATTTCTTATATTTGCTTAAAAATATTTAAAAATAAGACCTGAAGTCAACATTTTGCCCTAATTATATTTTGACTTCCAATAACATGATACTATTTCTTTGTCATTTTTTTATTTTTATGAAAAGTAGATAATCTGGTATTCTGCATGAAAAATGGAATGAGAAGCACCAAGTATAAGCCAGTAAACTATCAGCAATTGCATGCATTAACTGAAGCAAAAAAAATAGCATCTGCCTCGGGAGAGCTAAAGGTTAGAAGTTGTGTGTGTATGTGTTTTTTTCTGGATTTGAAAAATTGAATTGCTAGGAAGCATTTGCTTTGCAAACGTGAAAATAAATTACTTTCCAAATAGTTTTTAGATTCTCTCAACTACTAATAATAGTAAACAGCAGCTAACATTTATTGAATGCCCTCAAATATTGTTACATAGTTGCATGCATAACAACCATCTGAAGTCAGAATTAAACTTTATTTTTGGAAAAATTGTTATTTCATTAGCTTTCAATAATTTCCTAAATTGGAAATGTCCTAATCTGAAAAATAAAAATTGCTAGTAAGTATCAGCCATGAATTATTATCTGATTTAAGAATTCTTCTCCAACATAATACAAATATGCCCCCAGGTGCTCTCTTTTTTAGAATTCCCTTTTTTGTTCAATTACATGGCCTAAGCCAAGTAAAGGTGAACCTGAACTAGATTTGAAAGGGGTTTATGTGCAAGTGGTATACACAGTATTCAGGACCACATATAGTTTAAGATTACGCTTGTAGTATATTTCTCTCTTGTGCAAATAATAGAGTTAATTAAAAACAGCATTTTCATTACTTGGCTACATTAAGACCTGGTTTGGTAAAGCAAAATATTAAGTAACTGCCGGGCTCGGTGGCTCAGCCTGTAATCCCGCGCTTTGGGAGGCTGAGGTGAGTGGATTGCCTGAGCCCGCGGGTTCGAGGCCCGCTTGGGCAACTTGGCGAGACCTCATCTCTACAGTAAATCAAAAAATTAGCCAGGCGTGGTAGCGCACGCCTGTAGTTCCAGCTACTTGGAAGGCTGAGGTGGAAGAATCGCCGGAGCCCAGCAGGTCGAGGCTGCAGTGGTCAGGAGCGGTCACTGCACTCCAGTCTGGGCGACAGAGTGAGACTCCAACTCAAAAAAAAAAAAATTAAGTAATTTACAAGTTTTTATTTGTATTTAAAATGTTCAGACTGGGAAAAGTGGCCCATGCCTGTAATCCCAGCGCTCTGAGAGGCTGAGGTAAGAGGATTGCTTGAGCCTAGGAGTTCTACACCACTCTAGGACTCTAGGCAATATAGCAAGTCCTCATCTCTACAAATAAAATAAAAATAAATAAAATAAAATAAAATAAAATAGAATAAAAGTTAACCAGGCATAGTGGAAGACTCCCATAGTCCCAGCTATTTGGGAGGCAGAGGCAGAAGGATCACCTGAAACAAGGAAGTTGAGGCTGTGGCGAGCCATGATCATACTACTGCACTCCAGTTTGGGAGACACTCTGTCCTCACCTCAAAAAAAAAAAAAAAGGGTTTTTTTTTTTAATGCTATATTAGTTTTGCATAGCTTTTTATTATTACTATCTTTTAAAAAAATTTTAAGTTTTATTTTAAAGATGTGGGGTACAATTCAGGGTTAGGTATACAAATGTTCATTATGCAGGTACCCTTGTTGATAAGATGTGCTCCCCACTCCCCCTGGCAATTTCCCACTACTGCCAATCCCTTTCTTATAGTATTATGATAATTGTTCAAGGTTCACTTATATTACTATCTTTTTTACAGTGGGCAGCTGTTATGATTTCAAAGTATACTTGATATCTTCTTATTCCAGAGAAATTAACATATAATGAGCTATAGCTCCTCAAACTAAGGCAACTACTTAAAAAGTAGAACATTATTTATTTGTTAGCTATAACTTTAAAATAAGTTAATGTTATAAGAACATTCAAAGAAGTTTTATGGGAAAGCCAGTTATATCACCATCATCCTAATAAAACCTTTTGTATGTCTGACTTCTGATCTATTATATACACACCACATGGACACATAAGAGGGACCAAAAAAACCCAGAATTATTTTTTTGGAGGATGGGCTCCTTTTAGTACAGGCTTTCCCTGCTAGGTAAGAGCTCTGGGAATCCATCAGCATCAGCATGTACCGGCTAGCATTGTTGTGAGAGACTGCGTTTGTCTTTAGTGAATTTGTTTTTGGAGATTCTGTCAAGGCGTCAGCTCATTTCAGGATGAGTGATTTACTAGTGCACCTGCCCACACTGTGCTGAGTGTTCAGCAGTTTTTGGCCAAAAACAGCATGACCCCCGTGTTCCACTCTCCCTATTCACTTGATCTTGCCCCAAGTGACTGTTTGTTTCCGCGATGAAAAAATTCCTCACAGGGAAACGTTTTGCTGATGCGGAAGAAGTGAAACCAAAAACGGTAGAAAAGCACTAAAAGGCATCAAAATTGATGAGTTAAAAAACTGAGCAGTGGAAAAAACATCTTGATAGGTGAAGTGTAGCAAATGGAGAGGACTTTGAAGATGACTGAAGTTTAAACATGTAAGAATAAGTACACAACTTTTAATAAATAAATTCCATTTTTTTGGTCAACTTTCATACGAGGCTTTTGAATGGTTCCACTACAAAGAGATGATAAATGCATGAGGTGACAGTCATGTCAAATACCCCGATTTTATCATTACACAGCATATATGTATCAAAACATCAAATAAATATGCACAATTATAATGTCAATTTTAAAAAATTTAAGGCTGGGCTTGGTGGCTCAGCCTGTAATCCCAGCACTTTGGGAGGCTGAGGTGAGTGGATCACCTGAGCCTAAGGGCTTTAGACCCATTCGCCAACTTGGCGAGACCTCGTCTCTACAATAAATAAAAAAAAAATTAGCCCAGCGTGGTAGCGCACGCCTATAGTTCTGGCTACTTGGAAGGCTGAGGCGGAAGGATCGCTGGAGCCCAGCAGGTTGAGGCTTGTGGTGGCCAGGAGCTGCCACTGCACTCCAGTCTGGGTGACAGAGTGAGACTCCAACTCAAATAATAATAATAATAATATAAAGAAGAATTTAAAACAAAGATTTAACTAAGCAAAAACAGGAGTGACAAGCACTCCAAATAGAAAAAGATGCATACACTATCACATCTCAATTTTTAGCTATTTGGATTGTATCCAATTTTGTAATATTAGAAATTATGCTACTGTAACATCTTCTTGCATAACGGTTTTTCATGTTTTAGAATCCTACACCCACATGGGAAAATTTCCCATGATTAGGATGTCTGGCCAAAAACTATGAATTAAAAAAAAAAGTTTCAGCCGGGCTCGGTGGCTCAGCCTGTAATCCCGCGCCTTTGGGAGGCTGAGGTGAGTGGATTGCCTGAGCCCGCGGGTTCGAGACCCGCCTGGGCAGCGAGACCTCATCTCTACAATAAATCAAAAAATCAGCCGGGCGTGGTAGCGCGTGCCTGTAATTCCGGCTACTCGGAAGGCTGAGGCGGAAGGATTGCCGGAGCCCAGCAGGTCGAGGCTGCGGTGGCCGGAAGCGGCCACTGCACTCCAGTCTGGGTGACTGAGTGAGACGCCAACTCAAAAAAAAAAAAAAAAAAAAAAGTTTCTAAGATCTATTACCAAATTTCTTTCCCAAGGTATTGTTTTAATAAAGATACCACCACAAGCATACTATCTACACCCTTGTCAGTACTGGAATATATCCATATACATATATAAATATGCATGCATATATATATATATATATATATATGTATACACACACACACATATTTATACTCCTAATATTATCCATCCATTCGAGACGAAAAAAGACATTTTTGCCTAATGTAGAATAGTTGACTGTTAAAATAAATATTTGATCAAAGTGAATTTCTCTTTGGTGATAGTATTGCTATCAAATAATAAATATGTTTAAAAGTTTAATTATTGTGATTTTTAAAGTTTGACGTTAAGGGAAGGAACAATAATTTCTCAGCATTGTCATTTGCTAGACTGCTTCTTTGGTTACTGTATTATATATTTGTGAAGTTAAACAGATGCTCTTGTTCAACTGGCATTTTACATAATATTACCTGCCTTTTGTTGATAGCAGAATATAATTCAGGAAGAAGCTTTTTTAGTTACATATTTTCTAGAAATAATTTTGTACCTGGTATTCATAACTTGGCAAATCTCAAAGAATCCCTTGTCTTTAACTAATTAAAATGATTCGTAGTCTATAGCAATCATTTTGACAAGCTCTTGCTTCCATTTTTAGTCTCCATAGAGTCATGATGATAAGGAATGTTCTTTTAAAGCATTTTTGTAATATCTGTTGTTTTGAATTTCAGTTAGTGAGAACAAGATGTGTCCTAGGTACTTCATCATTTTCTAACACTTTCCTTTTTATTCTTCATACAGTTTTCATTTTTTATTATATCTGGATTAAGAAAGATGTGTTGGGAATGCTGTACATGATTTTTGGAGTCTTCCCTTCTCATTTAATTTAGAAGTGGCAAGTTGACATTTTGCTTTTAATTTATTCTTGTAAGATGTGAACAATTGCCAAATAGGACTTTTTCTTGAGACACGGATGGCTTAAATGGAATTAAATAACTGAAAATACAACTCTTAAAGGTATTTTTTGGAGTTATGAATGCTAATATACCAAATAGTACACACTAGCTAGAATTGTGATCATAATATTATCTCTGTTATCTAAGTAATGTTGGATAGCTGACACATTCTTTCTTAATAGTGTATTATCAGTCTATTTCCTTATTTATTTTACTACCTAAATGTGTTCATTTTTAATACATGAAATTAACAGTTTTAATAATCCTTGGTAATTATTACAGCATTTTTCTCTAGCAATATTAAATATAATCATATTTAAACAAAATGATAGAATATTAACATTTAAAGCACATAAGGAGATTATTGCTTCAAGTTTCATCAAGAATACTTAGCTGCCTGCCTGATTTGTATAACTGATACTATTATACTAGTTAGATGTGATGGTCATCTATATAATCACTGTATTATTGACAGGTACAATTTCTGGAATGTTAGATAGCTCACTGAAGTGGACATTCAGTGATCCAGTTTTTCAAAGACTAAAATTGAACCTGAATTCAAATAATAAATTTGGAAACCGAGAACTGAGACCAATTTTGGTACATTGTATATAACTGTTCATTACCAATTTATTAGCTATAAATTGCACTTATTTTTACTAGAATTTATTTGCTTAGATACTTCTCGTTCAACTCAAGTATTCATCTATTAATTCTTTTTAAATAATCATAGCAAGTTGTAAACATATGTAAAATTAGATTGAATGGCATATTGAATCTCCATGTAGCGGTTATCCAGCTTCCACAATGATTGACTTTTGTCCATTGTTTCCTCTGTGCTCCCACCCACAAACCTCCCCAGTGCCAGGTTGTTTTGAAGCAAATATCAGACATAGTATTTCACTTATAAATATTTCAGCATGTATCTCTGACATATTAGAGCTTTTTACAAAGCCCTAGAATACATTGCCATGTCTAAAAATGGTTAATTTCTTAACAATTTCAAATATGCAGTTAATATTAAATATTTTCAGTTGTCTCAAGAATTTTTTCTTCAAGTTCATTCAAATCAATATTTTATATGGTCCAATATTATAACTGGTTTTTATATTTATGTTTTGAAAAAATTGCATTGTTTGTTCTTTACAGCTTCTTACGGTGTGAGTTGTGCTGATTTCATCCTCATGGTGTCACTTAACATGTTTTTCTCTTTCTTGTATTTCCAATAAATTGGTAATTATATCTAGAGACTTAATCAGATTCAAGTGCAATTTATTTTGGCAAAAGCACTTATTGATGAAATTATTGTGCTCCAATATTTTTCTATTAAAATATTGTTTCAGTAAATAGCTTTTAACATGTATCTTTTTTATACTTTTGCCAGTATGGTTTTCATATGGATTTCAATAAATGAGATTGTGAGGTCACAGGATAAGTCCATATGAAATTTTGCAATATAGCTCCAAATTCCCTTCTATAGGGGTTGTATCATTTGATATTCGCACTAGCGTTGTAAAACAGCCTCGGGAGTGTTTTATTAAACATTTGGGATTTTCTTCCAACCTGGTAGATAATAAATTGCATTTAAGGGTAGTCTTTTGTTTTCTTTTTATTTATATCAACAGTTCCTTACTGAAGTATAACTAGCATATAGTAAAATGCATAAATCTCAATTGTATATGCCAGTGAATTTTGCAAATATATACACACATGAAACCACCACTATAATTGTATTCTAGTTGTTGATGTCTATATCAAAGATAGATCCTATGGTCCTAAGGGCTTTCATGATATTTCAAGGTGACTGTTTAGGGTTTCATTATCTTCAGCTATCACAATTAGCCACAAAGAGGAAACCTCTGACTCCACATTACTTTATGAATTCCTTATTTTTGTCATTTTCCCAAAGAATTTTTAAATCATCAGTATTCTGTATAAATCATCATCCACCTTAAATACTGATTTTATATGGCTTATTGCCCAGTAAAATGAGTTGGAATCACCTAGAAATTTCTCTGTAGATTAAGATGCAACTTTAAATCTTTTTGTTCTTTTTCAGACTCTATTTTTCTTCATTTTTGACCTGAGGATAGAAGTAGAATCAATGAGTAAATTTATAAAAAAAATTCGTATGTTCTGAAAAATATTGGATGTGTTCAGTGAAAAATAGTTGCTTTATTTTGACTTTTATAGTCTACTTAATTGGCCTTTCCTTAGGCCCAAAGGCAATAGCATTGATTTTTTTCAAGCTATAAAAAAAGTTTCCACATCTTCCACCAATGTATTTTAATATTTTTGTACAACATGGACCAAATATGTCGAAGAGATCTAATTTTAAAAATTTATCTGTTGCAACAAGTTCTAGAGACTGTAGATGGTAAATAGTTGAGATGAATTTTAAGCATTCGTAAAGCAAATACTGGAGTGTCAGATTTTAGAAATACCATTTACTTTTATTTTTTCTGTAGGTAAATAGGGACTTCTGAATGTCTTTCTGCAGTGTCCTGTATTTTTTTTTAAATGTACTTCCTCCTAAATTTCATAATTGCAGCACTCTTGGTAGCTCCTGACTTAGACTTTGTATTTTTAAGTAATAGTTGGGTTAATTTGTTTCCTTATACTCCTAATTTTGAATCAGTAGCCAAAACAGCAGAAAGATAAACTCAAGGTTAAAGTAATCAGTGAATGACAGCTAGAAATAGCATGCATTAAAGATTCCTTTCTAGAACTTGTCTTTTGAAGTTTTTATATCTTCAGTATTGATCTTTTAAAGCTTTCAGGGTACTAAGTACTTCAACAGAGAAATTATAGAATATATGTATTTCATCAAGTTACTCTTTTACACTTCTATAGTATAAAAGTGTTCATATGGAATACACAAATTCAGGGTACACAAGTATAAGTCAGGGTCTAACCAGGAAACAGACATCACTTGAGGCTTTAGAGTAAAGAGATTTTTAATGTAGAAAAAGGGTTATGCAGATGATAAAGCTGAGAAGGTAAACAGGCAATATGGAGATGAACAACCACAGGAAATCAAGGCCATACCTAGGTCAGAGGGACATAAAAAACAAGTAAGGCTGTGCCACATTCCATGGGTCCTGGTTACCCAGAGCTGTTGGAACTGTAGTGAAACTGTGTGAGAAGAGCTGGAGCACGGACAAGATGCAGATGCTCCTGAATACCCTGTGAGAGTGAATAAGTGGAAATGGAGGTAATCCTTTGGCTGCACCTTTCCTTCCTGCCTTCAGTCTCCCATGCTAATATCTCCCTTTGGCTGCAACCAGCTGACAGGGGCGCCTGAGAAACACACGTTGCTCTGTGATGTAGAGCAGATCAGTGAAATGTCCAGGAATGGGTCCAAGGCAAACAGACGCAGACCTGATACAACTTCTCAACAGACACCCAAATGCGCTAATTATGTGCTACATTTTAAAAAAGTCATAAAATCGGGGGAAATTAAATTTGGTTGAAAATTTGGGTTCAGTGCTACGTGATTTTTCACTATTTCTTCGTTAACTACCTGCAAATAAATATTTGCTTAAATTTTTAAAAAAAGTTTAAATTTACAAAGTCATGGATTTGAAAGATTGAAACTACATGTTCGAGGTCATATTTCTAGTAAGTGTTAAAGCTGGGACTAAAGCCAGTTCTCCTTACAACGTATCCAATGAATCTTTCCCATCTTATGCTGAAGGATCAGATAAAAAACAATCTAAACACCAAGGTTCTTTGTTACTCTGATGTTTATGAGCCTTATGATCTTGACCACATCTTTTAACTTCTCTTACATTTAGTGTCCTCATCTGTAAAATGGGAATAAAAGTGCCCATTGTGCCTGTCAGGGAAGATGAGTCCAAAAAAAGGAGAAATAAAGAAAAAAAACTCTTCAAAAATTTTCTGGGGCTGTGTGAATTAAGGCATTATTTATTGTGTGTTCAGAAAATAGAATGATTTCACCTTTCTTTTTATAAGTACTTTATAAATAGTTCTTAAATTGGTCAATATTCCAAACCGTTTTCTCTTTTTCTTCCCTGCTTTTTAACATAGTCCTTATTTGAGGCAGATTTTGTGTTAGAACATGCACTAATAAGAATTTTGAAAGAATAAGTGTTCAACTTAGAAAATGCAGATCAAGTATTTCTGTTATAGAAAACATATTTTTAAAACTTTGATGTTGATTCTCTTTTGTTCCTCTAAATCTAGATCAGAAAAGCAATGCAGACTTCAAAGATATCTAAAGAACAAACACTAATAAAACAACACAAGCAAGTGTGGTGGCAGGAACACCAGAGGTTGAATGCAGTCAGGTAAAAACTGGGGGAAATCTCAAGAAGAACACATAGGAATGATGAAGACTAGCACTTATCTCATCAGATGTACTATAATGGTCCATGTTAACTGAATCATTACAATCAAAATTTGAATGTGAGTCAAATTAAAATCCTTTCATTTCCTCAGCTTAATCCGGAATCCAGTGAACCATTTACTGTTCTGTACTCTCACCCTTTTATTTACTTGTATTATACTTAATACACTGAATAATCATATTTTGGTGGCACATATATATATATTTTGAGTTGGCTTCTCACTCTGTCGCCCAGGCTGGAGTGCAGTGGCATACTCACAGCTTCTGCAGCCTTGACCTGCTTGCTGGGCTTAGGCAATCCTACTGCCTCAGTCTTCCAAGTAGCTGAAACTATTGGTGTACGCTACCACACCCAACAATGGTGACATATTTTTAATGTAACCGTATAAAGTGATAAACTCCACAAGGATAAACTTCCCATCATATTCATTTTTACATTGTAGGAGACATAGTAGGAGATATATAAATGCTTTTAATATGTGGTTGAACAAATGAACAAGGAGTTCAAGTTGTTCAGTGTTTTCTGGATATAGTTGGCTCATGACTGACTTACTCAGTTTTGATTTTTGACTTTTGTTATTATTTCCAGCAGTTGCTGAAGATAAATTATAATGAAATATTGATTCTATACTTGATCTTAATTGTAATCTTTGAAAAATTAATTTTTTTCAAAGGTCAAGGCAAAAAGAGAAGGCAGATATGTCTCTCCTCCATTTAAGGCTCTGTTTTAATGATAGTGGTATTTATAAAGTATGCTTTTTAAGATGTGTATTTTAAAGCATTTATTTTATTTCCAAAAGAGTGATTTCTGTGGTCTTAATTCTAAGTCAAGTTTCCAAATATCATTAACTTTACCTTTGACTTAGGTATTTTTCATGTTGATAGGAATTTCTTATTTTGGCAAGTGATTCCTACATGTGTAGTAAAAGACTCACAATTGGAAACTATTGTACATTATTATATAACTTAAAATAGAAAAAAGTTATATGGACTTCATACTTTGGCTATAAAAACTATTATGCTAGACCCTTCTTATCCCTCAAAAAGTCACCTTTTGTGAAGAGAATGTTTGAGCCCGTTGGAAGTTTTTTGGGGAAAATTTGCATAATTTGAAAATGATAAAATGGAAAGCCATTAGGAAGCTTTAATTATGGTGTTCACTGATGCAAGCTTAAATGTAAAGGAAGACACTGGGAAAAGTTTTTATCTTGGTTATTTCACATCTTTCTTAATATGTATATTAAGTTGTTCTTAAGCTAGGTGGAAGAGTCATATACATATTATTATGGAAAATAATTATTTTAGCTGACCTGGAATGACAGAAAGGCAATAGAAGTGAAGACCATTTAAGTAATAATAACCTAAATGTCTTGAAAACTATAAGGGCTAAAATTGGACCAAAAGAATAATTCCATGATAATTTAATGTGTTATTCTAGAATGCAGGCTAATTTTAATATGTGTTCAGTGAAATTTAAAACTAACAGTATTAGGAGGTAAGTTACAGAAATGACTACATTTGTGGAGAATTTGGAGCCATCAACAAATCAAAAGTAGTTTAAGCCCTACCAGTGTTTGCCAATCTTTAAAAATATCTCCATTCTCTTTGAATAAGTAAAAGATTCTTATACATTAATATAAGACACTGCATGTGAGAATCTCAGGCAGGCAGAAGATAAGGGCCTACAGTGACATATAACTTTCACTGGGTCATTTAGTATGTGCCAGGTAATACAGTAAGTCCTGTACCTGCTTCATCTTACTTAATACTTACAATGACCCTACGAAGAAGGCACCATTGCTCTCCGAGTTTTACTCTTGAGAGTCTTGAGTCTCAGAAGATTAAACTTACTTGCAGAAGATAAATAAGCTAGTCTGTAGTAGAATGGTATTGGAGAACTTGCACCTCATTTCTGTGCTCCATGATCTTGGAGTTGATAAATTTTTCTTTTTTTCCACAGGGTTCTGTCCACATCACCTGGGATCTAATTGGTCTAGCCTTGCTAGCAAAAACAAAACAAAACAAAACATTTTGCCAAACTTTAATTCTTTGATATATATCTGTACTAAAAAAACTAGACAAAAGTTCTGAATGTAAAATTATCTTTAATATTTGTGTTATACAATTGTATTTAAAATTTAATTTGCTTACTCAAACTACACCCACTGGGGACTTAGATACATTTTCCCAGGGGCATTTACCTCCTTATTTCTTTCTGGGACCACAAAGAAACACTTGAATGTTTGTGTGATCATTTGCCCAGATGATGTTATTATTCCACTCGTACAATCACCTGCAGATAAACCAGCCTGGTGAAGGGCTCAGGTGTCTACTTTGGTATAGACACCTTCCAGGATGGTGCTAAAACTCTAGGTGGAGAATCAGTCCCCTTAGAACATCAAAAATCACCTATGCCTTCCCTCTTCTGGCAGTTTGTATGCTCTATTATGACTTTCTGGGTGTTGAAAATATGAGAAAGCTGAGCTAGATGGTTTTTAAGTACTATATTTTTGGTTAAACAAATCTGTTCTGAGATAACTTCTGGTTTGACTCCATGATTATGAACTCAACCTCCAAGTAGCAGTTGCTAATGTGATCTTAAAAATATTTCTGGCAAAATCTACCTTCTTTTATACATATAAACAAAAACAAATGTCCTTTCCCATGTGCGTGAATTGGCTTAGACAATGATGGCACATACATAAAATGAAATGCTATGCAGCCATTGATATGATAATTATGAAAACTATTGAGAGAAATCTAAAAAATTTACTGTTAAGCAAAAAAGAAACCCACAATATAAAGTGTTAAATATGCCATGATTATGAGTATATAAAACATACATATAGATGCTTATCTGCAAAATGAAAAGAATAATTATATTAAAATATTAATTGTTGCTATTCTTTATACCATTTTAATATTGCATTATAATAATCATAATAAATCAAAACTCTTTTCTATGATTTAGCTGAATCTACCATAAGCAAGGAATAGACTATAATATTTTTGGATGCCTATTTAGAGTTGGTTGTGGTTTTACTCTAAAAAGATGACTATTTAAAAAATATGGTAAAAGCTTATTAAGACTTGTTACTCTCATTATTGTATAAAAGTAAACTATAGTTTTGCTCTCATTTCTCTAGTTCAGGATTTCATCATTTTTAAACTCTAAAATAATCTCCTGTTGGTCCAGGTTGCCTGATCCCTACTTCTTCATCTTTCATTCCTATTGTTCACCCCTCCTTTTGGCCAATCCCCTCTTGCTGCCTTGGGAGTGGTTCTAAACACAGATCTGAGCAGGTGAGGTCAACTCGATATCCTTCAGTGGCTTCCCTGTGCCTGGGCTCTCTCCACGTGCATCAGTGCCAGGAGCTGTGTGTGTTGGCCTTTGCTCAGGGTGTGACTTCTGCTTGAGCTGCATGCTTCTTTCTCTTGGTGCCTAGCAATTACCCCACCCATGTTAGGAATTTTGTACATGGTCTGAACAAATGAATGGATGACAAAACTACATTAGACTGAATATCTCTGCTACCAGTTATTTTTGAAAACATATATATGTGGTTAAATTGTAAAGAAAAAAATTTACTGAGGTCATGTCTATTTCAGATGTAAAATGGAATCTGAAATAAAGTCCTTTCTCAATGAAGAGAACATTGGAAATGAATGTTTTTGTGACCTCAAGAATTTTGGTGAGATTTTTTCTTTAGTCCTGTATTTAAAGGGGAGTTTTGTTTAAAAGAATGAAAATGGGCCACACACTTCATATTCTTTTAATATTTACTGCTGTTTGTTTTTTCTAAAGAAATCCAAAAATAAATATGCGCTCTAATGACCCTATTCTTGAAGAAGCTTAAAGTAATAATGTGTTTCCTTGATTCAATTTTGTTTTACCATAGAACAAGTGTTATCAGAACAATGGTGCACATATCTTAAAAATGTGATAAATCCTATTCAGCAGTTGAGAGAAGATCTAAAGTACAGACAACATCATACTTTACAGCGTTCACATCCACACATTGAGTTTAATTCTGTGAAAGTACTGGAAGAGGTTAGTATATTGCCTTTATTTTTGATAGTGAAATATTTAATTTTTGTCCCAAGTAGAACAGGTTGATAAGAAACAAACATTTATGTCTTTAAATAGAAGGTCAGCAAATTCTGTCTATGCAGTGTTGTAAACATGTGCCTGAAATCTGTCCGAGCACCTTCCTTTCCCACCTGGAATGTTACAATGGCCTCATAACTGGTCTCCTTGCTTTCATTCTTGTTCCTCCTCCCAGTACATTCTGGGATCCTCCCCTAGTACAGAGGGGAACAAGTCATTCTGTTGCTGAAATTCCCCAGGGGCTCCTGCGGGTATGTAAGTCCTCCTATTTATCAGGCTCCCTTTCTGCTGCTTCAATTACATCTCCTACTCACATTCCCCATTTCCCACAAAAGCTCAGTCACACCCAAGCTGACCTTCTTTCTGTTTCTTCCATATATATGCCAGGCCCATTCCTGAACTGGCTGTTTCATCAATCTTGTTGATGGTACTTTTAGTAATTTAGGTTTTGGCTTTAAATGTCCTCACTTTGAGAGGCCTGTACTGAGAAGCCACAGTTCCTTTCACCTACTGTGTTTTCACATCACCTACCTCTTGATACTTTGCTACATTTTATTAGTTTGTTAGTTATATTTTATTAGTTTGTTGACTACTTTCCCTCAATAGAGTATAGGCTCCTTGAATATAGTGGTGCTAGGTGTAATAAAAATTTAGGTGAATTTTATTTCTCTATTTTTCAGTTATTCTGTAATATATTATATTGCTTTCATAAATAATAATTAAAAAATTATAAATCCATGCCCAGCTGGGGATTAGAGGCAAGGATGCAGCAAAGACAATCTGGAAGTTCTCTTCATTACCACAAACAAAATATAAATGTGGGTACAGAGTGACTGTATTCATTTTGGGGCTGTCTGGAAACCTCATTTGTCTGATGGGCAGTGCCAGGCTAGTTGGCATCTATTCAACTCTCTTCCCAGGTCCACAAAGGGACTTTTCTGTATCAAATTGTTCATTCCTTATTGACTTTCAAGAATAATTCTTGTGTCTTTAAATATAAATATTTGATGAATTATAATAATTTGCATACTATTTATTCTGAATGGTCTATAGGTTGACTTTGTGAAGAAACAATTGAAAACTGTTTTTGAAAGACTTAGCCTGGAGCAACAGAAAATAGAAAATAATCTTTCAGACTGGAGCATGATAGTAAGTATGATGCACTAATAATTTATTTATCATTTATCATTTATGTTAAATAAAATAATTTTTTTTTCAGATACTAGATCATTCTTCAGAAGAAAGAACTAACTTGCTTAGTGAACTGCCTATGGAAATAGAAATTTTGGAGTGTCCGTACCCTGATCTGAAATCTTCAATCCTTAGTGAATTCTGTAACTTTGCAGAGAAATATCAAAAGAAACTTCAAGACTTTGATTCGCAGTTAGCAGACATATACAGGTGATAAGATAAAACTTATTGAATCCTGTAGATTTTTGACACTGAATTTTTATTTTTGTATACTTCTGATTTACTATTTTATAGCTTCTGTGTGATTGGAAAGCAATCAACAACTGTTTAGAGTGACTATATGTTAAATGAAGGGTTTTTTTTTCTCCAAAATAATTTCCTTAATGTAATGGTTCTTAAGATTTTTACAAGGTTAGAACATGGTAAAAATACTTTTCTTGTTGAGTTCTTTGTTACACAGGTAAGAAATAGTTTTTAAATATTAACTTTCAGTAACCACAAATTTTCATTTTAAGATAAAAAGCAGCTCAGTAAAAATTTATAAATCAGCACTAATATTCCTGACAATGGAAGATGTACCAAGGAATTGTGTTACTTATAATTGACTGTGATTTTATCCTATGGTGAATACAGAGTATGTTCTCTAAATTTTAAAAATTTTCTTTTGTGTGTCTTTTTTTTTATAGAAAATATTCTAGTTTTCTTCTGAGAATGACCATTCTCTTCTATATGACAAATATAATGTTCAGTGATTTAAAATTCAGTTTTGTTAATATCTTCTATATTAAAATTCACTTAAAGGACAAATCCAGATATACCACCTTTGTATGATGAATGAGCTGTCTTAAGTAGTGTTGTGGGTACATACAATTTCTAGTGGATATTTGTAGGAAAACAGCTTTTTGTTCTATGATGTTGACCTTAAAATTTCCCCAGAGAATGTATATTTAAAAAGATAGAAAAGCTACTAAAAATACATTTTTATAGTAAATTAAAAATAAAAGGTTCTTAACTTTGAAATGGAAGAAAATGAATATGACAATGAAATGAATATGTATTTCTTATTTTTCTTATTAATTGCCTATGAATGCAACTCCTATATATAAAAAAATTATTAAGAGATAAGTAACAAGAAAAAGCCCTTACCACATAGGGTTCTTTGCTTTGGTAGTTCCCTAATCCAGACTCCAGAGTTCTAACTGCTACTTGTAGGTAAACAGAGCTAATTTCATGTGAAGTCTGAGTCTTTCCTGACCTTAGCTTCTTACATCTCTGTGGGGATGTTCAGGTGTTCCTTCCCACCAGACACTTCTTGGTTTCCGCAAGAGCCTTTCTTTTCCTGCCTCTCTCCCTTTTTTTTCCTTCCTTCCTTGCAATAAAACTGAGAAATAAATTAATAATATATCATTTACACTTGATTGATTGATTAATTAATTACACTTTAATTGAAACTCAGTGATAGTGAAGTACTAACTCCATCATGCACTTAGCTTGTCTCGAGTTGTAAAATGAATATCCTCTCCCCACTCCCCATTCCATCCTTATTAAAGAGATTTTGTAACTCATCAAGAAAGAGGAAAAGAGTTTTTGTTTGGTGAGAGAGGAGGCATTATAATCAGGCTAATTAACTGTGACGATAAAGTGGATATAACTGATACTGGCCTTTTAAAACAATTTGACTGGCTCATGATCTTTCCTTCCAGATGACACATTTGTCTCCCTAAGAAAGTTGACTAAGACCATGGTATTTCTAGGTTAGCAGTTCCTAAATATGGAGGAGTTTGCCTTAGCAGCCTGAAATGATTTCCTTCTAGTAAGATCTATTCTTTCCAATCTGATCTCAATTTCTGCTCTTTCTTCATACAATGCTGTGTGACTCAGAAAAAGTTGGGATCCATAGCGATACTGAAATTACAGAAGATGAAGTAGAGAGTTGCATGAATATACATCACATGCTAATATTTCTGCAAAGGGAAGAAACATTGAGGATAAAATAACTTCAGAAGGCTTGATGGAGGAAGCAAAATTCAATATAGACTTTGAAGAATGAGCAGAGTTAGACTAGTCAGAAGGGGTAGGAAGGGCATTCTAAGAAGGGAGATTAAATGACTAGACTGTAAACCTCTTGAGGACAAAGTAATTTAGTAGCTATAATTGTGTTCTTAGCACCTAGCACATTCTGACAAATAGTATCTTCTAAATAAATGATTATTCAATTGAGTTGAAATTGAAGGTAAAAATAATGAAGGAGTGACTACCAAGGCATGTTATGGGAGCAGTAGAAATCTATTTTGGAGAATTATAAGGTTAATAAATACTGGTTTAATAGTCTGCTTGCCACACATAATTATCCAGAATACATTTTGCATAATTGATGATGTATTTTACTTAATGAATATTTATTGACTAATCCTTAATATACAGTGATCTCTGCTAAGTTTCTTGGTGGGGAACTCAACAGGAAGATTAGTTTAGAATATGGCTTTGCCTCTGAGAAGGCTAGAAATATATGGGGGAAGAAACATATATACATGTATCCTGACCAAATAAAAATTATAAGCAAACAACTGAAGAAAATATTGTATAAATATGCTGGTAGTGAATAATTAAGCATTGATAAAAACTGAATGAGATTCTAGGAGTGGTTTCTTTGAGAAGAAAGCATAAAAGAGATATTTTGAATTAATACTGAAGACCCAGACTGGAGTGCAGTGGCCGCTCCCGGCCACCGCAGCCTCGACCTGCTGGGCTCTGGCGATCCTTCAGCCTCAGCCTTCTGAGTAGCCGGAATTACAGGTATGCGCTACCACGCCCGGTTGATTTTTTATTTATTGTAGAGATGAGGTCTCGCTGCCCAGGCGGGTCTCGAACCCGCAGGCTCAGGCAATCCACTCACCTCAGCCTCCCAAAGGCGCGAGATTACAGCTGGGCCACCGAGCCCGGCTAGAGATGGGTATTGTTAATCTGTGGCTGGTGAGCACTAAGTGTAAAATTATACTGTTCTTACTAGAACAATTAATTACAGTTTCAATTGTAGTATTAATTGCACTTCTAATGTGTCAGTATCTACTCTTATTTTGATATGGCCATTTCCCTTGTGGTCCTAGTTATTAGGCCTTGTGAAAGTTTACATAGATTGTGTACAGGTATGTACACTCTTGTGCGTGAGTATATGTTTACTCTAAGCAGATGTGTTGTGCTATGCCATAAGAAAGGTGAAATATCTGGGGAACATTTTTATATTATAAAAATTTTCATTTGATTGAAGGCAGTGGTCATCATGGTTAATCCCAGCCTTTACTCTAGTTCTCCCTATGTAGTAACTCACTGGTTTGGTTTGACATAACTCCACCTCTAGATCCAAAATACTCCCTTATTAGGAATATGTGCCATCAATATAACCTCATTTTCCCCAGGCCACAGTGATTAGCTCAGGGAAGTCCCAACCAGGGCAAAGTTCAGGACTTTTGTTCAATGCTTGTGAGAATGAGTGCCTTTTCTTTAGCATGGATATTACCAAGGAAGCACATGACTGAGGGTGCTGCTGGCAGCCATCTTGTGAATGAAGACAGCCCATATGGAGACGGCAGAGCCCAGAGAGTCAGGAAGCTGAGCTGGTTCCCTGTTTAAACAGCATGGGAAGCCCGCTCCACTGCTGAATTTTTGGGAGCTATTAGTCCACATTATGGTCTTACACCAGTATAACTTGGGTTTTTATTTGTTTGCAACTAAAAGCAACCCTAATTTGCCATAATAGTTGGCTTCAAACTATCCATTGCTCATGGAATTAATCTGTCATTTTAATACAATGGCAACTGAAGAATTATTTAAAATTATTTCAATTTATTAGGAGGATTAAACTCGTAAAATCGGCCAAACTTTAAAAATGAAGATGACTAGGGGTGGGAGAATGGGACCTGCACAACCAAATATAAATATATATTTTGAAATAAAAATAAATGATTAAATTTTATAAAACTGTGAAGTATTTAGCAGATCAGTGTAACAAAACATAAAAATATAAGAATTTAACTTATAAAAAGACATTTCAAAAATGTGAGGGAAATATTAGATTATTTATAGGATGGCATTATATAACAGGCAACTGGAAAATAAGACTAGGTTTCTTCATTGTTTTATATGAATTAATAAACTCCATGTATATTAAGACATAAGAAAAAAGTAACTGATGCAAGGACTAGATAAAAACAAATATTAATCTTGAAGTGGGGATGCTTACTCAAAACATATTATTTGCAGTAAAATTAATAAAGCAAAAGTTTAAAGAAATGCAATATCATAAACATTTTTTTTTGAGTTGGAGTCTCACTCTGTCACCCACACTAAAGTGCAATGGCCGCTCCCGGCCACCGCAGCTTCGACCTGCTGGGCTCCGGTGATCCTTCCGCCTCAGCCTTCCAAGTCGCCGGAATTACAGGCATGTGCTACCATGCCTGGCTGATTTTTTGATTTATTGTAGAGATGAGGTCTCGCTGCCCAGGCAGGTCTCGAACCCATGGGCTTAGGTAATCCACTCACCTCAGCCTCCCAAAGGCACGGGATTACAGGCTGAGCCACTGAACCCGGCCATAAACATTTTTTAAAAATCTAGCCTGATGGTTTCTCAGAGAAGTTTTAAATCTTTAGAAAATAAATAGAGACTTCTGGTTTTCAGTCCAGCATATAAAAAGCATAGTAGTTTCCACTCCATCTACCTACTAATAAAAAGCTGAACAAACAAAATCAACAACTGTTTTTAGTTCCATCAGAGAAATGAGGTTACAGAGCAAATGGTTACCCCCAAGTTGGAAAGACAGGCAAGTAGATACAGAGAATCACAACTTATTGGAGCAGAAACCCATGAGCAGAAACCTCTGCAGGAACAAGTGATGGGTTAGGAAAACCTGAACTGTAATTGACAAATTGCTGAAGGCTCACTGGGGACAACTCTGAGAGTTAAAAACTCTAGGGGAACCCAGTCATCAGAAATGACCCCATTTTCACCTCCATGAGCTATATCAGAGTCCTCACAGTAAATACCTGATAAAAACTCCTTTGTCCTTATAGCAGATGGAGGAGAGAAGAAAGTGACTTGATCTATACATTCAATGCAATCCCAATCAAAATTCCAGCAAATCATTTTTTGGATTTTGATAAACTGATCCTAAAGTTGATACAGAAAAGTGAAAGACTCGTATAGCCAGTTCAAT